CCAGAAGACAATACTCACCAGTAGTTTCAGAACTTCCAGAAGACAATACTCACCCATAGTTTCAGAACTTCCAGAAGACAATACTCACCCATAGTTTCAGAACTTCCAGAAGACAGTACTCACCCGTAGTTTCAGAACTTCCAGAAGGCAACACACTGCTAGAACAGTATAACATTGTTCTTTACAGAGAGTCCCGGCTGTTGTTAATATCAGTGTCACTACAGTCCTCCACAAGTCTTCTCCGAAAAGAAACAATAAAATCTAGAATATTAAAACGTGTACAGAAAAACTTTCCAACTTATTTACATAAGTAGTTGAGTCTTACTCTCTTCTCTGTTTTATAAATATATATATTTGTTTTTTTCCTGTCCAATCCAGGAAAGTTTCTGTCGTTCAAAATAACCAGATAAAAACATTTTATATTGTGTGACTTTTATACTTAATTGAAGAAAAACATTACAACTTATTTCTGTAAACTGATATATGTTCCATGTGTGTTGATTTCACCTCTCGAAAAGTTTTACGTTCTTTGCCTGAGGGCTAGGCGTAACCTGGTTGTTAGCATTCCAGAATACAGATCAAAAGGTCCAAGGTTCGAGCCCATGATATTTTATTGAACGAGCTCGGCACTTTCAGCTCTGGACTCATTATAAAAGTGATAGGTAATACTTCTACTTAGCAGCCGTATAGGCGGAGGGTGCTGCTAATTGGTTACCCTTGCTCCTGCTGTTCAGTTTTAAAATCACCGATACACTATAGTATAGCCACAAACACAACAGTAAATAATTTTCGTATCTATCGTTAAAAGGTCGTGTAAAATGGGCTGATAATTTTCTATCGATAACATCGACTCTACTGATGAGATTATAACAGCTGGATTTACATATTTTACCTGAACGGCACCTCATATACACGTGTGCTGATTGGCCAGACCTGTAAACCCATGGAGTTCAAGCATAGCCGTCTCTTAACTCTCAATTAGTGACCAGAAGAAAGGCAGGCTGCCAGCAGCACCTGCCGCTACGAGAGCTTTGTCCAGCTCTTAGAATCAAATAATAGGATTGTCACTTCTATAACGCACCCACAAAAGAAAGTACGAAGCATATCCAGTTGCATCGCGTCTCAAACCTTGGACCCTTCAGTTAGCAACCCGACACGCTAACCATTAGGCTTTGCCCAGATAGGTTATCGTCAAAGGATGTTTCTCCCCCCCCCCCCAAAAAAAATATACTAATTAATTCGTTAACATTGGTTTAAAGATACACGAGCTCTTACTCATATCGAGTGATAATACGTTGTTATAAAAGACGGGTTTGTTGTATCGATTTGAAACAGTTTAACGGAGCAAAAAGAAATTAGAGAAACACAGATGAATGTAGTAACCCTAAATCGGGCGTCCACATCCTCTCCAGTGAGATTAGACAGTATTAGAAGATCTTTTTAAGAGCGCAGAAACTTGTAATAACTTGTAATAATGGAATTCTATCTTAAGGAAAGATAACAGACAGAAAAAAATATTTATAGAAAAACACTTTACTGAGGGCGTTGCTAACTTTCTATTCTTTTCCAATAAAATGAATTTTCCAAGTTTGACAGAAAACGTTTAAATCTTAGTAGGAATAACCGAAACATGTATTTTTTTTAACTGTAAGAGGCATAAGATATTCTGGAAGAATTATATATCGAGTAATATCGAGGAAAAATAACCTCTCAAACACAAGGTTTCTTATATGACGCCATCTAGCTCAGAATCTTCTGAGATGCGCCTGCGCAATCTCAAATTTACGGTCTAATCAGCGCTAATGGACGGAGACTCGTCATGTTGTAACAGTATCAAACGAGTGATCTACGAGAAGCTATTTAACAAGAAATAACTTTAAAAAATAAGGAAAAAAATAAAGCAAACATGTATGATACCTAGTTGATGCACGTGATCGCCAGTCTATTTTTCAATTATATTATATATATATATACATTTCCATTAGAATATTGGATCTCTTCCAGTCCTAATCTAATATTTGGTGAGCAGAGCGCCACCTGCTATTTTCTTTTCCCTTGTTCACTGACGGTGTAATGTTTTGCCAATTTTTAAGCCCATTTGTTTTTTCAAACAGAGAAATAAGACAGGGAGTGATTTTAACAAATACTGTTAGTGCTAAAATATTCCGTGCGCGGTAACATCTGCTCATCGTCAAAAGAGGATTATTTAAGTTTAGGAAAAGGTTTAATCTTCTTCATCCTAAGCCTTCGTCATTTATTCAAAACTTCGGAAAGCAAATGACGAAGACATAGACTATGTAAAATCCAAATCTTGAATGAAATTATTTTGCCGAAAAAGTAATTCAAAGAGCAAAGTTCAAGACCAACCTTCTGCATGGGAAGCGTGCCTATTTCTGACGTAACACAGTAAGGCACTGAGAAAAAAGATGGCTGAAAGAAGCTCCGCTCTACCGACTACTCCAGCTACCTGAAACAGTGTTAGAATCTACAATATATATTTATAACAACAATATGTTTATACTGAACAATATATTTATAAAACTGACTATTACAGCTGCTTTAAACACTGCTATAATTCTACAATATATATTTATAACAACAACGTTTATACTGAACAATATATTTATAAAACTGAATATTACAGCTGCTTTAAACACTGCTATAATTCTACAATATATATTTATAACAACATGTTTATACTGAACAATATATTTATAAAACTGACTATTACAGCTGCTTTAAATACTGTTATAATTCTACAATATATATTTATAACAACAACGTTTATACTGAACAATACATTTATAAAACTGACTATTACAACTGCTTTAAACACTGCTATAATTCTACAATATGTATTTATAACAACAACGTTTATGCTGAACAATATATTTATAAAACTGACTATTACAGCTGCTTTAAACACTGCTATAATTCTACAATATATATTTATAACAACAATATGTTTATACTGAACAATATATTTATAAAACTGAATATTATAGCTAGCTAAACAATGCTTTGAATGAGGTTTGATTCAAATGTTTTTATTAACATTTGTCTTAATCAATACATTACAGATTTCTCATTAGAAATGTGTCAAATAAGAATTTCGGGTCTATCTGTTACCTGCTACAAATTACTGCCCAAGAGGTCTTTCGTTTGATACCAGAACTGATCAGTCAGGCTGGATCTAGGCCCACAAAAGTGTATCTGAAATCCTAATTGGATAAACTACACAATTTTTGATCTAGTGAAACGAAACTCTGCAGTTAAACATAGTTTTAGTGGTTTTGGTTACTCTTGTAAATCATGCTTCACCTATTTACACCATCATTTTGTTTCGCCTGTAAACCGTACTTCACCTGCTTATATCGTCATTTTGTTACGCCTGTAAAGCGTGCTTCACCTGCTTATATCGTCATTTTGTTACGCCTGTAAAGCGTGCTTCACCAGCTTACACAGTCATTATTTGTTACGCCTGTAAAGCGTGCTTCATCTATTTACACCATCATTTTGTTACGCCTGTAAAACGTACTTCACCTGCATATATCGTCATTTTGTTACGCCTGTAAAGCGTGCTTCACCTGCTTACACAGTCATTATTTGTTACGCCTGACAAGCGGGCTTCACCTATTTACTCCATCATTTTGTTACGCCTGTAAAGCGTGCTTCACCAGCTTACACAGTCATTATTTGTTACGCCTGTAAAGCGTGCTTCACCTATTTACTCCATCATTTTGTTACGCCTGTAAAGCGTGCTTAACTAGCTTAAACAGTCATTATTTGTTACGCCTGTAAAGCGTGCTTCACCTGCTTACACCACTGCCAGGAATATTTTAAATTTGAATGTTTTCTACATTCAAACAGACAGTACGTGGAGTACGTTCATTTTACAGGCTACTCCAACAAACAGAAATACTGTTTTCAAATGTAAGAATTTAATCTTTAATTTAAAATAAGAACATGGCATTTTCACCTTTACCTTGGGCTAATGATGTTTATAATAATCTATAAGACCGTTTTGATGTGATTTGGAAGTCTAAAACTACAGATTTGAGTTTCTACGCGGAGTTTTCATTTATTTTTTTGTACTTGGTTTAGGTTTTGATTTTCTTTGGCGAGTTTCTATCTCTATTTTAGACTATGTTGTTATGTCCTCATGTGTCTCTGAGATGTCGTTTTTTGATTATCCAGCGTTACAGTTCGTAAGTCTGCCTACAAGTCTAGCTGTCTTACGAACTCTAGCTTATCCAATTAGTTTCATCATTCCTATCAACGTTGTTATGACATGGTTATTTCTTAAGTACGTAACTTTATGTTATCGTTGTTACCATGGTTAGGGTTTCTAAAAACTTGCTATATATTTTCAATATATGTGCAGGGTGACTTTTTATACATTCTACATTTGATATTTGTAATGGCTCCATCGTATCACATGGGAGCGTTTAACCACACACTCGATCACGTGGCAACGTTTAACCACACACTCGATCACGTGGCAACGTCTAATCACACACTTGGGAGGTTCAGTGGCCTGTGAATGATATGTTCAGTATTGTTTGTTTGTTGATAAGCGCAAGACCGTACAATGAGCTATATGTGCTGTGCCCACCACAGGTATCGAAACCAGGTTTTTAGCGTTATAGGCCACTGGAGAGCATGATTAGTATGTCCTACTTGCTGTGATATCACGTGACTTATATAACATGGTTCAGTATGTCCTCCTTGCTGTGATATCATGTAAATATATGACATGTTCAGTATGTCCTCCTTGCTGTGATATCATGTAAATATATGACATGTTCAGTATGTCCTCCTTGCTGTGATATCATGTAAATATATGACATGTTCAGTATGTCCTCCTTGCTGTGATATCATGTAAATATATGACATGTTCAGTACGTCCTCCTTGTTGTGTTATCATGTAAATATATGACACGTTCAGTATGTCTTCCTTGCTGTGATATCATGCGACTATATGACACGTTCAGTATGTCCTCCTTGCTGTGATATCTTGCGACTATATGACATGTTCAGTATGTCCTCCTTGCTGTGATATCTTGCGACTATATAACATGTTCAGTATGTCCTCCTTGCTGTGATATCATGCGACTATATGACATGTTCAGTATGTCCTCCTTGCTGTGATATCATGTAAATATATGACACGTTCAGTGTGTCCTCCTTGCTGTGATATCATGCGACTGTATGACATGTTCAATATCTGCATCCTTAATCTTCTGTGTGGGTTATTTTCGAATAACCCAATAAGACAAAAGCGATGTTGAAGCACAAGATAACCCGCAACCAAAGACGTTACATCTGGATGATTTATGAAGAAATTCCAGCACATTGTTTGCTACTGTGCTGCCACCTACAGCACTTGAAACTACCAAGCGTGTAGTGGAATGTTGTCAGGTTTTTTTTCACCGTTCGCGTGTCACTTAGCAGTCATTACAAATACAAAAAGTAGGATGCATAAAAGAATCCCACTGTTTATATATATATATATATATATGATAGAATATATTTATAAGGAATCTTAACACGAATGAATAACGTAAAGTACCAAATGTGAACAAATATTAAAAAGTCAACACTACAGTTATTTTGGCTTGAAACTAACGAAAACAAAGAAACTTAACGTGTTGTTACGAAGATAACACAAACAAACTTAACGTGTTGTTACGAAGAGAACACAAACAAACTTAACGTGTTGTTACGAAGAGAACACAAACAAACTTAACGTGTTGTTACGAAGAGAACACAAACAAACTTAACGTGTTGTTACGAAGAGAACACAAACAAACTTAACGTGTTGTTACGAAGAGAACACAAACAAACTTAACGTGCTGTTACGAAGAAAACACAAACAAACTTAACGTGTTGTTACGAAGAGAACACAAACAAACTTAACGTGTTGTTACAAAGAGAACACAAATAAACTTAACGTGTTGTTATGAAGAGAACACAAACAAACTTAACGTGTTGTTACGAAGAGAACACAAACAAACTTAAGAAGAAAACACAAACAAACTTCACGTGTTGTTACGAAGAGAACACAAACAAACTTCACGTGTTGTTACGAAGAGAACACAAAAAACTTAACGTGCTGTTATGAAGAGAACACAAACAAACTTAACGTGTTGTTATGAAAAGAACACAAACAAACTTACTGCTTCGGTGTGTACAGGATGAACAGAGAACAGCAAAGTTGCGACGAAGCTTCCAAGAGATGATAGAAACAGTAGGCACATTCTGAAAGATAACAGTCTTCCTAAAATAACTTGTTAGTAGTGATCCAAAGGTGTTTTGTACTAGTTTGGTTGTTGGTGTGTCTCCCGAGGTGTGTTTACGTGACTGATTTCAGATTGAACGGAAATGGGTTTACACTAAAATCGATACACCAACACAGCTCGAGCTCGTCTTCAATATGAGCAACAATAAAACCGTTGGAGGTGGGAATGGAAAAAAGAGAGAGCGGACCCCCAACAACAGTCTTGTATTTTTAACTTACGTGATTTAGTCATAAAACTCCTGATTTTATAAAAAATACATTACTATTTTCTAAGTGTATGATGATTTCTGTGATATAACAAGACGGAATGACGTTGTTGTTGTTGTTTGTGGAAGTTAGCGCTAAGCTACTCTCTGATATTCTTTTAATCGAATATTAAAATTTGACCGTCACACTTATATCGTACCCACGACCCCAAAGTTCGGGGGATTTTTTTTTTGGCGGCAAGGGGACGCGGACCACGGATCCATCGTCCGACTTACTAACTACAATGGTTTTGTGTGGCTCTATAAACCAATGACGTGATTGTCACTTTTATAATGCACCCATAGCTGAGGTACGGAACGTGTTAAGCGGCGTAACGTCTCGAACCCCGGACCCTTCTATCGACAGTCCGACACACTAAGCGTGCTCGGTCCTTGTGTATTATAACCGTGTAGTAATCTTAAAGTTAATTCTTTTCATCTAAACCCTTTGTAATCAGATACTAAAAATAGTTAACTTTAGCAATTAGAACATCGAAAACATATCTTCTGTACCATCTTTAATTAGAAGTCTTCTGTATCATCTTTAATTAGAAGTCTTCTGTATCATCTTTAATTAGAAGTCTTCTGTACCATCTTTAATTAGAAGTATTCTGTATCATCTTTAATTAGAAGTCTTCTGTATCATCTTTAATTAGAAGTCTTCTGTATCGTCTTTAATAATGTGATACGAACTTGTAAATCTTAAAATATACATTTGTTTCAACTTTTCATTCTGTTTATCTGATGAACACGAAAACACTATTGGTAGTATTCTCCTTATTAATAAGGTGTTTAACAAAATCAGTATGAAATAAGCAGATGATTATCTAGGGTGTACTCACGCGAACCCGGTTCACTGTGAAAGAATAACAAAAAATGATTGGTTATTATAGACTGCTAATAGCTGTTTGAAAACTCCCCTATAGTCTGTTAGAAACCAGAGTTTCCTGATCTTGTCTTAATATCATCAAAATGTATTTAACGAAGAAGAGAGAGAGATTACAACGCCCATTTGTGAACATCTGAAAATGATGTTTAACATATTCTTCTGAAAACATTCAGTAATATCGGAAAAAATGTATTTAACGAAGAAGAGAGAGAGATTACAACGCCCATTTGTGAACATCTGAAAATGAGGTTTAACATATTCTTCTGAAAACATTCAATAATATCATCAAAATGTATTTAACGAAGAAGAGAGAGAGAGATTACAACGCCCATTTGTGAACATCTGAAAATGAGGTTTAACATATTCTTCTGAAAACATTCAATAATATCGGAAAAAATGTATTTAACGAAGAAGAGAGAGAGATTACAACGCCCATTTGTGAACATCTGAAAATGAGGTTTAACATATTCTTCTGAAAACATTCAATAATATCGGAAAAAAGAAGTAAAAAAAACGTGATTTTTTTGTTTGTTTGGAATATTGATCTAACCAGACACGAACGTTGCAAAACAAAGTTCTATATCCCGAAACGTTTTGAAACAAAAAACAAAGAAAGAAACAAAAAAGATCTGTTACTGTCGTCGGCATGCAGTGAATTAATATGTAAACCATACAGCTGTTGATTTACTGTACGTTCAGGAATTACTTTATTATAAAGTAATTATTACTCATCACTTAGATTTTTGTTAATAGTGTGGAGTGGGATTGGAATTTTATTTTATGTACGAAACCTTTGTCCACTTCTAGACTTATATATACTGTTTTTGTTTTGTTTTTAATTATGCACAAAGCTACACGAGGGCTATCTGTGCTCTGCCCACCACGGGTATCGAAACCCGGATTCTAGCGTTGTAAGTCCGCAGACATACTGCTGTGCCACTGGGGGGCCTTATTTATACTATTATTCATTTAAAGAACAGCTTAGTCAGCAATAGCATTTTACTGTATGTAATTCATCGTCATGGTGATTAATTAAAAGACCAACCTTTATCTACGGTAAGATAAAACTTATTTATATATATGTATCTAATAATAATTCACAGTTTCTAAATTCATTGTGGTTTTTGTTGATACACGTGTGTCTTTGTTCATTTTTCTTTTTTTAATTTGACGGTAATTAGACTCAAAACTGTTGTCTTTCTTGAACTTCTCGTGGCCTGTGGTTAGTGTTCCGGGCTGCGGTTCGAAGGGCTCCTCGGTTCGAGTCACGAAATGCCGCTGAACACACTTTATACTTTCAACAATGGGGGAGGGAGGCGTCACAATTCGGTTAGGTAGCCTCTTAGGTGGTGGGTGCTGCTGACCCTCCCCCTGGTCAGCAATTCTAAATGTGGACTGAGTGTTCCTGGGCACTAGATGTCCCTAACCTGGCCGTTTAGTCCACGTGTCGCAAAGACAAGTTACGTCTAACCCTTCTTAACTCAATTATTGTATTAGAATTATTGTATTCTAATGTCAAGTTTCGTCCTCTGAAACTTCAGACTTCACCTGTACACGAACTAAGTAAAGTATCCGTACAGCTCTCCAAACTCAATCTCGTGGACCTGTGAGCGTGATTTCCGAACACCTCGAAACGAAATGCTGAGCTCAATTACTAGCCTAGCTCGTGCATTACTATCACTTAACGTGATAAAAGTGAACCGACGTTTTTTAGCAGTGAAGTCGTGTCAGTTACACTCACGAAATATACCGTGGTTAGTTACACATAGAAAGTCGAGTGTTTTCAGCAGCTTTTTAAATGTGTGATGTTTTTTCTCGATCGAAGATTAACAAATTCATACATGTTTCTCTTACAACAGAAAGCTTTAACTCACAAATGCGTAGTTCGTACACAGTCACATTTTTAAACGTTTTATTTTGACATATTCATGGTCCAATTTAGATAAAAAATCTGTTACAAAAAAAGACATCTACTTTCATGTTAAAACCGATATCCGTACATTTTCATCAACATTATACGGGTGTCTATAAAGTCCTGTTCCGGTTTTAAAAGGCTACCATTGTGCAGTTTTTATCACCTTGTTGTTTAACTAATGAAGTTGTTTTTCTTGATTCACAGATTGTAATCGGAGTGTCCAGTTGCTAATCGTTGAAGTTTGAACTAAGATGACGACTACACAGGAGAAAGTTCAATGTGTCATCTGGTTTACAGAGTCGAGATCAGTGTCAAGTATTCAACGGAATTACCGCCGTCAATATGGCAAGGATCCTCCCTCCAAACCCAGCAAGGATCCTCCCTCCAAACCCAGCAAGGATCCTCTCCCCAAACCCAGCAAGGATCCTCTGCCAAACCCAGCAAGGATCCTCTGCCCAAACCCAGCAAGGATCCTCCCTCCAAACCCAGCAAGGATCCTCTCCCCAAACCCAGCAAGGATCCTCCCTCCAAACCCAGCAAGGATCCTCTCCCCAAACCCAG